TTACTTACCGCAGTAAGAAGTGTTGCGTCAACAGTGAGACCCTTCGCGGTGAATGAATTTTCGCGGTGCAATATTTGCAAGGAGAACAGCTGCAACTGTAAATTATTAAAATAATTAAATATAGAATTAAAAATATATACATTTGTATAAGCGATTCATGTATGAAACGATGTATAAAAAAGTGCAATGTATAAAAAAAACCGCAAAATATGTTCGTAGAAATAGATAAGTTAAATTATTATTAATTAAACAATTAATTAATGATATTTTTTTGCTACCTCATCTTTAATCTGTTTATCGCTGGTGCTGATAAGGACATCGTGTACAGTAGTGCCAATCTGCATGGCCTGATCCTTGCCTGTATCGCAGGCCCACACTATAAGTACTATTTTGATAGAATAATATGTTACAGACGTGATGTAGTATTTAAACCAGATCTGTTTCTCGAGATCGATAACATCCCCCTTCTCCCCTTGCCACGCCACTATGTAGAAATACAAACCGAAAGTAATTTCGGCAAAAGTCATGACTATTGTGGTGAGAATTTGCATACTGAAAACCGTATTCAATAAATGTACGGTATCGCTGACTATCAGATGTCGCTTCTTTAGGGCTTTGAGCTCCATTAGCAGATATGGATTTCTCTGCTCATGATAGATACGTCTGAGGAGATGCGGCTCATCGCTCACCACAAGTTCTCGCAAACTCAGCAGATTGTCATTGAGTTGTGTGAAACAGGCCTTCAGTACATAAACGCAATCCATGTACAGCATATCCATTTGAAACACCAGCATAGTGAGATAAAACGACATCGTCTTGAGGAAGAAATCGCCATAATCGATGGAATCTATACAGTTATACAATTGTACTAGTACGAAAAGGAAACCGATAATGTCCTTAGCATGAACCATCTTGGACATCTTCCGATACAATTCCGGGGGCAGTTTCGAAGAAATCTCTAACATGGACTGGAGCAATAATATCCGCTTTTTGGTCATGATATACGTGATAACCGCTATGACACCACCGAGTATATAGTAGCAATTACATTGAAGGGCTCCAGGTACGCCGCTGAATTTAATGTTCCCATCAATATTGACCTCGAAGAGTACCGTCAGTCCCCAAATGCCGGCGACAGCTACGACGATGGTCGACACGATATAGCCCACTTTGGAAAACTCCAAGGTCGAACCGTTGTTCTTGTACGGAAATAATCCGAAAATAGTACAGAAAATGAAACAGGGATACATCAAGGATTCAAAGTCCGTCGCGCGGAACGGCCGCCATTTTTTTCGCACTTTGCCCTTGTCTTGTCCTTGGGACTTTGGCGACGGAGTGAACATGATTAGCGAAGTGTCATAGAAGAACAACGATCTAAATCGTAGATTGTATTCTAAAAATTATTAATTGCATTATCGGCGCACTTAAACATTGATGTAAACATATGAAAGCCTTTTCTTTAAGTATATAATCTTTCGATTTTCCACGATAAATGTCCGACAGAGGCTCTCTCCGTAAACTAAACCCGATGAGTTCAAGTTCAAAACTGCAAACAATTGCTGCATTGGGTAGTCAGACGGAATTATTTGTTAGCCGTGAAGTAACCATGGTGTTCTTCGATCGACATTGTCACCCTTGGGATGCAATGTATAAAGTAATGATGTGTAATTGCTGCGGCATGTACGACCCATCTTATGCATCTAGGTCGTGCGCAAGGCGAATCATGCACTGAGAAAAAAATAGCCTAAATTTAAACAAATATTTATTTGAATATTTTCAACTAAACATTTGTAATAAATAAATATTTACTTAATAAAGAGAAGTGATTGTTAAATCAAATTAATGTTTTTGTACCAAATAAATATATTTTTATGTTCAATAAATATTTAGTTGATACTATTCAAATAAAATTTACTGAAATTTACGATATTTTTTTCTCAGTGTGTGTGTGTGAACACTTGTACACAAGAAACAGGAAACATCGACTGCGCAGTATCCACAAATGGATTAGTAATTCTCAAAGATCTGTTAATAATGACCGCACATTAAATTCTAATTGCATTCAAATTGCGCACTCTAGTCTGATTATAAAATTGACATCATCATGCCACGATTTCCAAAGCTAATGTTTTTCATTGTTATATATAGTTATTCATTTGTTTATTTTCAATGTGCAAAGATTATCGATATATCGTGCTTATTATTTTGATTAAGACATATTATCGTCTTATTTACTTTTTCAAACTTAATTTATTGAGGAACATGAATTTCCAATTGTTTTTGTGAGTCTCTCGAAACATAATAAATCAATTTGTGTATATGTATATATATATATATATATATATATATATAAAATATCACGCACTAAATTATTACGCTATTCACTTTTTAAGAAACTGATATTGTGAAAGACATATACGTAACAAAATAATATTGATAAACCGACTTACGACGTAAAGACAATGCTATTATTCAAATTAGAATTAATAATCGATATGCTTTTTCGACTGATAAAATTAATAAATATAGCATAGCCAGTGAGCAACAAATTATCTCAAGATGATGATCCTTTGTATTTTAATGACAACAAAGAAATGGAGTGATGAACGATGTGAATGTTATCATTATGATAATGCGCCACATTACGTCTCAACGAAACCTCATCAAATTATCCTTAATAAACGAAGCTTGAAATGCAAATATCGCTTGAGTTGTTTCTGAAAGTCCACTTTTGATATGATATTCGTATTTTTCGATGAAAGATGATGTATGCGCAAGCATACGAAAACAATTAAAATAAAACAAAAATAAATTGCAATTTTTTTAATTGAATTATTAAATAATATTAATCGAAAATTGATATTCTAAATAATTATACAATTTATATAAGGTATCCTTCTACTTATGAATTCTTTGATCAACTAAGAATCGATTTTTCTTGAAAATTATCGAGACGATTCAAATTAATAGAAGAATTCATAGATGAAAAGAAAAACATTTCTTTCAAATCAAATAAGAATATTAGAAATTAAAATCAGATACAACTTATTTATTTTATTCTTTAATTCTATTTTGTGGTTGGTCTATTTACGTCTTATTTTTATATATTTATATGTTATCTAGAGATAAAATGAATAAATTTAAAATAGATAAAATAATTGAGTGAATTATTAAAAATTAACATAAACGTAATCGCTAAAATATTTTGTTATGAACGATAATTGCTTGCTTTTTATTTGTTTAATATGCAAATATAAAAATCGCATCTCAAGATAATCGATTTTTAGGTTTCTTGTATACATTACATCTTGTATACATTACGAATAATGCTTTTGATAATTGTTCTATATTTTTCGAAGTATAAAGATATGATCATACTGAACGCATTTATTTGAAAGCATACTCCATTAAAATCTGAAAGTTACTCAACATAAATAAATATTCATCATATACTGTAACGTATTTGTGCTTGAATATTTTCTATACAATGAAAGATTTATGCGTAAAATTTTTTTCAAATGTTTCACGTAATTCTGTTCGGTTTGATACGTTTATTGTCTTAAACATGCTTTAACGTATTTACAAACAATACAACGCTTCATAAAAATAACATATTTATTGCTTGTTGCCGTTATAATGCAACGGTAGTAATCATTCTGCGATATGTAACAAAAAGCATTTATACTTGTACATAAAATATAATACGTTGTGCGTATGCAGAGTCCTTAAGCCAGAGTCCTTGAAAGTCTATCTGGAAAAAAACATTGAGATATATATCTGCATAACTTTAAATTATTAGCCAAGAGTTAATAACAAAATCAATATTGTTAAATGGACCGGAATATTTTAAGTTTTGTGTGTGTGTGTGTGTGTGTGTGTGTGTGTGTGTGTATGTGTGTGAGAGATAGAATTTTTTAACTAGTATATAAATAACAATATATAAATAAGAATATTTTATTAAGATGCTTTTTAAAAAAATATTTAAAAAAACATCTTAATATTTAAATATATCCTCTACATATATACATGGAATTATATATTTATTCACTAGAAATTAATATTAAAATTGTTGAAAAGAATTCTATTAAATTTTTATAATTTTGTATAATTTTCAAATTTATACCAATAGAATGATAAAATTTTTTCATCAAGATAAATCAAAGCAAAATGAAAAACATTCTTTTTATAAATAAAAGAACTTTTCTTTTCTTTCAGATTTCTGAAAATTTCGCGCCTAAAATCATCTGCAAAATTAACAATCTCCATATAGAAATAATAAAAGGTATGCCACATTGGTAAATGAGAAATAGATAGACAAATTTTTACAATCAGTTTGATGACACCTTTGATGCGTTGTATTTAATTGTGATTAATAACTTTTGAAGCATTTAAAAAATTATTAATAATTTTCATTAATTTTGAGTATTTTTTATATGTATTCGATAATTTAAAATATGGAGTGAAAGCTTGATACGTCCAGAAATGCATAAATTGAAAGTAAAAACTATTGCTAATCAAGGCTGATATTCATAGTTGATTTTTATATTTAGATGCCTTAAACAATTTTAAAAGAGGAGTCCCATAAGGCGTATTTGCCGCGTAACCGCGTAATCAATCAATAATCAATAAAACGCGAAACCACAACAGCGGATTGCGTCTGATTGATTACACAGTTACACAAATACATCTCATAGGATTCCACTCTAAGAGGTTTGTTCGTGTCGCATGCTCCAAGATGCTCCAACATATTCCTACAATAAATCTTATTCATTCTAACGCGATCGTAGAGGCTATGGTAGGAATATGTTGAAACATGTTGGAGCATGCGAACAAATCTAAGATGTTATGAACCAAGTCAGAGAGAACCGTTTTAACATTTTACCATTTAAAACATGAGACGATTTTGAAACAAGAAGGCGTACATACTTTCTGTAACAGGTATAACAGTAATCGTAAGAATTAACCAATCAGAGCAGAAAGTTTTTGACAATTCTAGACTGTGATTGGCTAATTGTACGGTACATCTTAGGATACATCCACATGAACTTGCACAGCTGCATAAATGTATGCATAAAGAAAATCATCCAATCACATTTCTCTTATAAAGTCGCACGTAAAATATGATTGGATAATTTTCTTTATGCATACGTTTATACGACTATGCAAGTTTGTGAATATATCCTTACGATTATGGTTCCTGCACATAGAACGCGGCATTGTCGCGTGGCAGAAGTTAACGTGATAGTCAATCAACGTCTCGCTCGGAAGTAACAATATATGTATAATTTCCATCGCGCGACAAAAGTTGAACTTAATGGCTGCGTTCAGCAAAAAAAGCAGCTTTGCAACTGTAAAATTCTTGAATATGATTGGTTTATACATTTAGACCGGAATCCATAGTCCGTTCTTAATCTCAAGCAATGTTTTAAGATGCTAATATAGTTCTCTGATTGGTTCATGCACTAGTTTAAGATCAATCTTGAGCAATTCTTCAATCTTGTCTATGAATTCCATTCTTAGATTCAATGCGGAATTAAGAATAAGATCAATCATATTAGAGAATTTCACAACAGTTACAAAGCTGCTTTTTCTGCTGAATACAGTCAATCCAACATTTCCGCCGCGCGACAGAAGTAGTATTATGCCATTTCTAGAAGTTTTGCAAAGGCTGTGTTCCAAAATTGTTTGTCAGCCGTGGCAGCACTGTCAACATCATTCAAAAAAAATCACATAGCACGCTATGGCAGTGCTGCGAGAAGATAAAGACGTCACTAATTTGTCATTTCCTGCTGCAGCTAAAGAGGTGAAGCAGCTATAGCATCCAAGATGGCGAGTATCGTTCCAATTTGAAATGCGTATTCGCACCAATTGCATACTTACTAAAATTGGAACGCTGTTGGTAGCATGTTTTTATGACGACATACCTGCAGCGCTGGCAATCAATTTTGGAACACAGCCAAAGTGAGGAAGTAGTATTAGGGTGCCTATCCATGCAGAATAGCGTAACACGGAACAAGAGTAGAACCAATCACAAGCGTTCCACATCAACTGCTATTGATGCGGAATGCTTGTGATTGGTTCCGCTCTCGTTCGGCATTACCTTGCATGGATAGGCACCTTTACATCATTTCTAGAAGTTTTGCAAAGTGAGGCCGACTTAAGAACATAGAATTATTGGTTAGTACAACAATTTCTATCACGTAAAAAATATTGCTGCGTTTTGTATGCAGAAGCTATTACCGAATTTATCGCATGGTACTGTAACCTTTTATATTGAGTCGGAAATTCAAATAGGGGAATCTCAAGAAGAAGAGCCATTACTATTACAGAAGGCGTATGTGGCAGCAGAACTCGAGGGGATAACCACTAGTTGAAATATTGTCCCACTGATTACATGATTTTATTTGATTTTATATAATTTTGTCTGATTACAAATAATTTTTTTCACTACATATGAAGTAATTTAGTAAAACGATTTTAGTAATACGATTTTATTTAATATTATACAATGATTTCTCATGGTTACATGTGTAATTATCGGATTATACATAAAGATTTCATATGAATTTTATAATGATTTCGAGGAAATCTCTATCCCACGATTACATTAAGTTACCCCCTCAGCAGAACTAGACTAATGCTCAATTTTTTCACTTCCAGATAAGTTTTGTGGATAACCTC